CATGGGCAATTGCCCGGGCCCGGGGGGCTCCGGCCGCCCGCGGGCCGTTCCCCCCCCAGGCCGGTTGTCCGGATCTCGAAGCTCAGTCTGCCACACGACACCCGGCCTGCCCTTGGCATCGGCCGATCGCGCATTTCGCCCCCCCCCCCCCCCCCCGCCTCGGGCCGGTCCCCAACATCCCATATTATCGCCCTGCCGGCAGGGGGCGTTCGCAAACTGGAGGGACGACCGATGGGCACATGTGCGTGTGAGAGAGGAGGCCGATGGCCGGGAAAGAGCACACACCAGCCCAGCCAGCCCGAGGTGGAAGTGGGACTCATGCGAGCCGGGGTTTATTGGCCGGCGCGGTGCCAGGCCCCGGGCCCTCGGCCCGGGGAGGGGCGCCATACCCCCACGTCTCCCCCCTTGTCGCTCGTTCGCTTGCCCCCCCCCCCCCGCCCCTCCCTCTGCTTGCTCCCGCTCGTCGGCTCGATCCTCTGCGCACCTCTCTCCCCTTGCCCTTCTTGCCTTCGTCGGCCTGTGCCAGATCGCTCCCGGAGCCTGTCCCTGCCCGCCTCCCGCCGTTGCTCATGCTCACGGGAGCGTCTGCCACTGTCCGCCGCTGCCGTTGTGCCCGCCGCCGCTGCCACCGCACATCCCTTGTGCTGGACTGAAGACCCGGGTGCATCCCCCCCTCCCCCCTCTCCCGGGGTCTCTTTTTACCCTCACACCCACCCACATAGACACCTGCACGGACAAGTGTACACCGGCGTCCACGTGCAACGGAACACATACGCCCACCCACCCACCCACCCACCGACCCACCCACCCACCCACACACACACCCATGTCCTCGTCGGTCCTGCTGGCCCGGCCGCGAGTGGACACCAGTCCACCGGCCCCCCCGGCACCGGGGGAGCCCACCGCCCGCAGCCCCTTCCCCTCGCGCAGCCCCCTCACAGACCTGGAGCCCATGACGCCAGCCATCGAGAGCCCGGCGGCAGGGCAGTTCCTTCCCCGGCACTCGGGCAATGCAAGCCACTCCCCCGACTCGTGGGGGCCCTTCCTGCGGGAGTGTCACCAGCTGATCGAGGATGTGGTTCTCTGCGTGTCGCACCACTCGCCGCGGTTTTGGCTGCGCACCATCTTCCGAAGCAGCGACACTGATGGCGGTCCCGGAGCGCGGGACCCGGGCTCAGCCTCCGCCGGGAGCGCCCTGCCGCCGGAGCATGGGGCCTTCTCACGGAGCATGCTGCTTGCGCCGATGGCCGCCGGCAAGCGCGCCGACCCGACAGCGCGTGGCACGTCCCCGGGGCCGGCGGCCGGGCCAGGCGCCGGCGGCCCCCGGCCCGGGACCTCCTGCATGCAGCTCACCCGCACGACGGACACCGATCCGGACACCGATGCCGAGCAGGAGTTCTACCTCCGAGAGATGCTCACCCGGACCATGTCCATGGAGGAGATCTCCCAGCTGCTGGGCCGGCAGCCGGTCAGGCTGGGCGGCCTCTCGACTGCCGCCGGCCCTGCCGGGCCCGCCGGCCCTGCGGCTGCCAATGCGCCATCCTCCCCGGCCCCGGGGCCGGGGCCTGACCCGGACGATGTGGACCCCTCGTGGGCCTTCTTCAATGCGCAGCGTCTGCTGCCGGCCTATGTGCCCAGTCCCCTGCCACGGCCAAGCCAGTCGGCCGTGTGGCTGGCCCCGCACTCGGATCGCCGGCATCTGCAATCGCGCACCGTGTGCTCGTTGTTGACGCCGGTGGTCGGGGCCATCGCCGGGCCGGAGCCGGCCGGCGCCGCGGCTATGGCGGTGTCCGAGTCGCCGGCACCGATGGTCGACTCGGCCAGCCTCAAGTCCTCGGGCCGGCTCTTTCGGCCGGCGGCCCTCCTTTCCGGCCTCTCGGCGCGCGATCTCTTCGAGACCGATGCCCACGAGCAGGACCGTGCCGGTGGCCTGTCCGTGTCCATCGACACCCGCCACACGGAGACCCGTGCGTTTTTGCCCATGCCATCGCTGCATCTTCCTTCCCCTCGGGCTCGGCCATTGTGTGGGGCTGCTCTGGCCGTTGCTCTCCGGCTGACCCTGTGCCCGAACATCTTCCCTTCTCCTTCCCTCCCCCCCCCCCGCTTGCCCTCGCCCCGGGTCCGACAATAGGAGTCCGAACGCAGGCAGCCAACCTGGCCTTCTCCTTTGCCCTGCGCGGCCTGGCCGAGTACGATCGTCTGGCCCGAACCGACTACCGGCCGGCAGGCTCACCGGCCGGGCGTGCGGCGGAGTCCTTGGCCCTCCGGGAACTTAACCTCTATGGTGCGTGGCGCAATTCGCCCGAGGGTGTCGGGGAATGGCCTGCATGCTGGGTTGTTTGTGTGGGCCTCCAAATCCGGCTCTTCGTAGCCCCCAGTCATGGGGGTTGCGCGAGCACCCTCCTCCCTCTCGGGGAGCCGGGAGGCGAAGCAAAAGGGGGAACCCCAAGGGCTGGACTTGCTTCTCTGACACTGACCTTCCCTGCGGGCTCTCCTCCTCGTTCCCCCCACCCCTCCCCCCCCCCGCGCCCCCCCCCCCCCCCCCCCCCCCCCGTCCCCCGCCTCTCTCTCTCTCTCTCTCTCTCTCTCTCTCTGGACATGTACATGTGGACTGGGGCACACCCACAGCCAACAGCGTCTTTTGGACTGGTGACGCACATAGCACGGTCATCGAGTCCCTCTCTCACGCACAGGGGCTGACGGCCTTCCGACTGACCGGTACACGCTCCCCCATCCTGTTGCCATTCTGTCCTCCCCCGTGATGCCCTAACATGGATGTGCCCCCCTCCCCCTCCCCGCCGCCCCGCACTCCTGCTGCCTGGTGCTTGCTGGCCCTCGTTCCGCCGGCCGATCGGTCAGACATCGCCGCTCGGACAGCCCCTCAGCGCATGAGCTCCCTCTTCTCCCTGCTCAGCTCTGGCGCAGGGCACTCCCTCACCGAGCTTTCCCTTTGCCGTGCGTCTGTCGCTGCTGCTTCCCCCATGTGCCTGACCTTGCTCGACCGTCTACCGGTACCGAGCAACTTCGATCGCGTTGGGTTTATTTCGCCCCCCCCCCCCTCCCCTTCTCCCGCGGGCCCCTAACCTCCTGTCCACGCTCCTCCTGCATCTGCGAATGCACTCCCACAGGAATTGGCTTCTCCAGCAGCGACATTCGCCGGCTCTGCCAGATCACCTCATCACTGTTCAGCCTACGGTCGCTCTCACTCTCACGTGCGCATGTGGCTTCCTTGCTCCTGCTCGGGCCCATCGGCCCTGATGTACCTGCATCTGACCCATCCCGCTCGGACCCCCCCCCCCCCCCCCCCCCCCCCCCCCCCCCCCCCCCCCCCCCCCCCCCCCCCCCCC